GGCGTGGTCCCACTAGCGAATAGCATCGTATCGAATGCCTGAATCTGGACGTCGTTATGAAGATGTGCAGGAAATCGAGATTGAAGTCCTTTTCTGCATCTCTGCATAAAACACATCCAGATTCAGGAGCTCGATCCTATCCTTTTTGCTAGTGGGACCTCGGCGTTGCTTATATTGGAGTTCGAACTCCGGTCGGTATTTCACCAGTGCAGAGGTGTACCAACTGGCGGGACCTTTTGTCACCTGCGTAGGTAGTGGGCTATTCGCTCCACTGCCGAATCTGGACCTCTTTAGCATACCGATACATTCAAAAAGTTTGATTAGTCGGAATGAATCTGGTCGATACGTAGCATTCCGGATACGTGTAGAATGTTGAGCACAGTGGAGCGAGGCCCAGCCTTTGGAGCGCCCTGTCTCTGGAGTCTGAGGCCCAGTCCCCAACTATTACTACGTGTTACTACGCTCGTGCTAGAAAGCCTGAACCTGGTCGTAAGGAACGGCAGGTTCGTTTCTTAACACGTGCTAAAAAACCTGAACGTGGTCGTAAAGAACGGCAGGTTTGTTTCTTCTTTGCACGAACATTGCCGCTCTCCGAAGTGTAGAAGAAAGACAAAAAAATTATAGCCCCGCCCGCCCAATTTAAGTACCCGAACTTCTTGGATAAAATCTGGTCGGTATTTCTGTGAGATACATGTCGGAAATTCCTCGTGTTATTTAAAAAAAGAAAAAAAGAAATTCCTCGTGTTGTTGTGCTAGATAAGCTACTCGCAGGTCTGGCTGAACAGGGCCGACCTGTAAGCGAACACTGGGTAAGGCTCCCAGATCAGGATTAGAAGTCACCGGGTAGGGGATAGGAATTTTGCACCCTTTATTTCTGGTTGTGGTCTTTGTTGTCCAGTTGTGAGGTTGGTTTGTGGGAGAAGTGCAGACTAGGGGATGCTGGACCCGGTTTCCAGCACAGGTTCACTCCGGGTTGAGATGTGGAGGGGTTCCCGGCCTCCAGTGATGGTTGAATTGTAATAAAAGTTGCGACATTCTCCCAAAAAAAAAAAAAAAAAAAAAATCATGTCGCTGTATCTTTCCATGTTCTAGCGGAAGATTCACTCTCGTTTTGCACCTTTCAAGAGTAGTGCAGTGAGTCCCGCAGTCGCTCGCAGAATCACAATGACCGGCCGCCAGTCTGCGCCAGATAAGGGGCCTCGCTGCACTACTCTCGAAATGTGCAAAACGAGAGTGAATCTTCCGCTAGAATATGGAAAGATACACCGACAATATTTTTGTCTTTTGTGCATGTCGAGTTTTTTTTTTTTCATGCACATCTCCACAAACATGGCCACAATTCGGTTAAAAAAAAAAAAAAAAACTCGCAACAAAAAAAACTCGCAAAGGATTCAGTCAGTCCGCCTCTGTCGATCTCCCAAAAGGATTCAGCCAGTTCGCCTCCGTCGATCTCCCAATGTAACGAGTAACGAACCGTCGGGCGACGGGGCGACGCCCTATTACCCACTTACACCTATTTTATACCCACTTACGCCTATTTTTCAGGCCTAGTTGTGCACGCCTCTACACGACAACACATCCGACAACGACCGTCGACGACCCACATTGTGCATGCAGCTGGACAACGTTGGCTGCCTCGGTGCACTCGTCCCCACCTGACCCTAAAGCTGGGTTCTATACGTAGCCACCGGGCAAAACGCAACCATCTATACGCAGCCACATTCCTGGCTGCGAACTGGATCCCCTGATCTGCATTGAGCAGAGCCTGCTGATGTTCGTAGGGGTGGGGACCACCACCTGAGGGGAGGCACAAGGATTGGTTTTGTTGGCATGGTCCCTGATGCTACGGGTTGTCGCCTGGCCGCTATCGCCCACCTGCAGGTAGGGAGCAGCCCCCACATGTTCTCTCGTTGACACGGTTCTGGCTGCTACGGGGTTCCCTGTATACCTACAATTAGGAGTAGTTGTAGGTAGCTAGTGTGGGGTGGAATTGAGAGAAGAATATAGCGTTATAAAGAAAAGAAAAAAAAGTGTAGTGGAGAGGGGGTTATGGTTTCGATTTCTGGAATCAGATCCAGGCTACGGGGAGTCTGCTCTGGCCTGTGCGAATGCTTGGCCGAGATTCGGTTCGTCAGTAGGACTGATAGTGATAGTGATATATTGATTGTGCCTGACGTCCGAAGTCCTCGGGTAACAAGGTTTGCGTGTTCCGGCTTCCACTGGGGCTGGGTGGGGTAGTTGTCTAGCCCAGGTGCCTATAACTACTGTTCGGTACATGTCGCACTTCGAAGGATAAGGTGATTGTCTTAAGCGCTTGTGTACCACTCAGGTAGAATAGTGGGTATAGGAGGTGCGTTAGGAAAATTGATGTGAGGATGGGTAGGGTGGCAGTCCTACAGTAGTGTGTCTGGGCATCCACTAGCTGATTGAGCTGGATAGTACCAGGAAGATAACCCCTCCTATGTCGGAATAGGTGGGAACCATGAGGCCACACCTTGTCGGCGTATGGTCTGTAAGTGGCGCAGTGGAATACCACCACCTCGGGACATACCTCCCCCAAGAACTTCCGATGCAGTGGACGAAATAGTGCTAGGTTGGTTGCCTAGTGGGAAGCTTCCGTTCCAGCGCTTCTATGACAATACCCATTTGGGTTGATACCCGACCTCTACAACAAACTGGGCTTTTAAACCACTAGTACCTCCGAGCCTGTTTTTGCCGACCCTGAACGCGAACGAGCGCCAAAACCCTCCTAACACAAACATAAATATGTTCAAAAAAAAAAAAAAAAAAAAAAGTTCTCTGAAATATCTTAAAACAAATTATGTTATATAAAATAATAATACGAACAACTTTTGCCTAGGAGATATGCTTAAATTCGTAACCAAAATCAAGTTAAAAATAAAAAACTAATTGTTTTATTATTATATACTTTTTTAATATGTTCGGCCGAACACGTTTAGGAGGCGTTCGACCGAACACGTTCGGGAGGCGTTCGGCCGAACACTCGAACATGTTCGAACGTACAGAAAAGCTCCGAACATGTTCGGTGTGCTACACAAGTTGGGGTATCATAGAATCAGAATTTTTTGTGGCAAACATTTTTTTTTTTATTGGTTCTGTTGTTTTTTGTTGTTGTCGTAACAATTATGGTGAACTTCGATATAAATAATCTAAGCTATCATCGAGGACGTCATCGAGTTGAATGCTCTCACTGCTCATGACTTTTATAGTTAGATTTGGCCTCAACTAGAGGAGTAATTTGTTGTAAATCATGTTGAAGTTTTTACACAGGAGAACTATGTGGGTCGTTGACAATATGTGCACATCACCTCTAGTTGATTATGTCTCTTAAGGAATTGTAGCAAGGTGCGTGCTGATCATGATTAATGGTTCTTATTAAGAGTTGGTTATAACTATCAATTCATGTGATCTTGATATTCTATGGTATGTATTGACTATTTTTTTTTCTCGTTTCGATGTCAATTCAATTAAGTACATCTTTCCACGTGATATTCTAATGCATGAGGAACTCTACCCCTCGTCCAGAGAGGTCGGATGTGGGCAATCGCTCTAGATAAGCAACATGAAGGTATGAGGCCAATTAGTACCTTATATAACGG